TCTCTGAGACCAGCTTCGGTGGCAATGAGGGGGAGGGGACTTATCCATGGGCATGTCTTCCCTTCCTAACTTTCTTTCCATGGAATTGGTTCTCCTCTCCATTTTCATTTCACCTACTTTCTTTCCTCCTAACCATTTTCTTTTCCCTAATTTTATTACCTAGATCACATACGCTTCCTTACAAATAAAGGCATGGCCAAACCCCTGATGGAGCCAGAAAAAAGAAAATGGGTGCTAGAAAATCTGGGTGGCCTCCCAGTGCACGTATTTCAGTGTGGGTGACAGTCCCCTCTGTTGGGGGCTTCCCGGACTTGAAATGAAGGAGAAATTGTTCTTACTGTCCTTTCGTTTTATGTTTAGTATTTAGCGTAGAATAACGCTGCAACATACAGACTCTTGCCTTGAGGACGTTCTGGACAAAGCTTGAAGTGGCAGAGGGCTTTGTAATTGTATTGCCTGCATGGCTTCAGAGACAATGTGACAGGTCGCTCTCCAGGCTGACAGTGTGGATAAGATGTAGCCCACAGCACCTGTGGCAACTGTTGGAGCCTTCCCATTCTTCCTGTCTGAACCCCACCCCTCTCTGTCTCTCTTTTGGCCCTGTCTCTCCATTGTTCTCTTTCTTTTGTACTCCCTCCCTGCCTCAGTCCTGTCAAAGCCTCTTCTGTGGTGGATACCAGGTTACTAAGACCACTGACCCCTCATCTACCTGGCCAATGACTCTATTCTCCATTTGCCCTACTGGTTGGTCCTTTTGGGGTTGCATCTCTGTTGGTGATAAAGGAAAATGAGCAGTGGGTGAGTGGCCAACAGTTTGGCCACGGGCGGGCCACTCACCAGCTTTACGGCCCTTGTGCAAGTCACTACCTTCCAGGGTCTCCTTTTACTCAGTTGCAAAATGAAGATGTGACCTAGGTGACTCTAATATTGGGCGTTTTATCCCATTATCTAGAGCCCGTGAGTTCCTCTCGTTGCAAATTGGCTGGGCATGGAACAGGGTCAATGGCTCCAAGTGTTACCCAGCTCGGGAAGGAGGAAGTGCATAGGCAGGACACCACAGAAACCAGAGATGGTTCCATACTTGAGAACTGGTTATTTCTCAAGTGCGTAAGAGCAGTGGAGACAAGGTTTTGCCAGCAAATCAATAGTGGGGTATAACTGACCTGGTGTGTTGGGAACCCTGGGTCAATCAAGGTGCAAAAGAAGGTCATTCACAAATGACCTAAATTTCATTAGGGTTCTAGTGCATTCCTGATCAATAGGGCTAACTTGCACTGACAACAACATTTTGAGTTCCCTCTGAAATGGGGAAAGTGGAATCACAGTAACAATGGCTCCTCGGTTCGGGTATAAATCCAGTTTCGTGCCATTTATATAATCGTCTTAACTGCCCTGTGAGGGAGTGGGGGCAGGGGGTTTTGGTCTCATTTTACGGATAAGCAGACTGAGGCCCAGAAACCTTGAGTGGCTTGTCAGTGGGTGCTCAGCTTGTGAATGGTAGTGATAGGCCTGTTCCTGAAGCTCCAGCCTTACTTACATCGATGATTTTTAGGGAGGCTGGGAGAAAGACCAAGATAGAAAGTTAGTGAAAGACCAGCATCGGCTTCCTATACTGTAAGTAAGGTGTCTTCAGAGCAGCATTTAGTGTGAAGAGATGAAAATTAAAAGTGAAATTCAATGTAGTTGTAGCTACTAGGAAATATAATCTGAGAGGTAAATTTCCAGTTAAAGAAACACATGAGTAAAGTTTCACTTTCTTGAAAATGATGACACTACCAAAGATATGACATGGTTTCTGATTGGAGATAATGAAGCAAAAGCAAAATGCAGGTTCTTTGTAGCAAGTGTGGACAATTTTAACATCAGCGTAGAAAGTCAACTCAGAAAATCCCCAAACACATTTTTTTGTCTTCAGTGGGGGGGGGGGGGGGGAGTGTTGGCAGGTCTAGACTTTCAGAAAAATTGTCTGAAGATTTGACTTCATTTTCCTTAGGGACACAAGCCTGAGTCTGGGCTGAATCAGACCTTAAGAGAAGGAGGAAAGGAGTCACCAGAAAGTATCTCCAGAAATTAGGCTTTAGCAGAATGCAGAGAAAGTTCAAATCTCTACAGATACAACTGCTTTACTTTCAGAAAGGCTTTTTAGCATTTTTACAGCCTGTTTCCATCCCCAAGTAAGCCCACCTAATGCTTTTCATAAAAACATTCCATACCACAGACATTCTTCAGTTTCTTTCATCGGGACTGCTGACTTTACACTAAGGAGGAAAAAACAGTCCCAAACAGCAGACCCCGAGCCCTGAGAGCCCATTAATAAACTTAGCCGGGTGGTAGACAGAACTACACTCAACCTCGGTGGAATTCAAACTGCCCGTGTAGAGGAGAACCATCCAGTCCTCCAAACAAAGGCCAGCCCAGTGGTAGCTCTGAATTCCATCCCTGAACTACTGGGTTTTTAATAAAGTTGGTTAAGGGAGGGAAAACATGAATGCCTGGGAGAATCTTAAGCCTCTGGCTTTAGGAGGCCAGTTTTTCAGAGTTTATCACCTGCCAGAGAAGTATCCTCCCAGTGTCCTAAGATTATTCGATTACAGTGATAGAGGGACATCAGTTCTGGCTTATGACCCGGGGCTTTGGGAAGAGAATTACATACATTTCCTGGATTTCTTTGAATAGTCAGCAGTGGCATTCGTAGGCCTGGAATTCTTGTTTCCATCCGTGTACTTAAGATCTTAAGGGGGAGTTAGTTATAGGTCAGGGTGATCTATTCAGAAGTGTTTGAGATCACAGAGAGTGACCAGCCACCCTCCCACTGAGACCCCACAGAGCGTCTGTCACGGAGCCAGGCCTGGGTTGGAGGGATCCCTGGGAGGCCCGGTAAGAATATACCTCCCAGCTGCCTTTATGCTTTCCAGGACGTGTTCGTGTATTATTTCCTCAAACTCCTTGCACAACTCTGGAAAAACAAGGTGATTGTTACTAGCCTTCTTTCACAGAGGAGAAAGCAGGCACTGGGAGGTGTAATGATACCTGAGTAAGTGGACCTCAGATCTTGATCATCAGTCCCCAGTCTAGGAGTTTTGTGGATAAAAGACCCACGTACTACGACTCCTGAAAATGCAGGCAGCAGCCAGAGTGTGCACGCTGGCACAGGAAGATCAGCAGTTCATCGCACAGAGTTCGTATTTTCCCCATGGTTCTTTGCTTAGTCTCCTCCCCACTGTTTCAGTTCTAGGACCCCCAACCACCCCATGCCTGTCCCCGCTCCCCAAGAAGGATTTGCACTGGTTTTTCTTTGTGGGTTTTGTTTGGTTTTTTTTTTTTTCAGTGTACAATAATATTTTATGTTCTATAAATTCAGGGCATAAGTTCTGGAGTCAAACTTAGTTCCGAGTCCTGATGCTGCCTCATACTAACTCTGTGACTTTGGGGAAGTTATTTAGCTAGTCTAAACCTCAGTTTCCTCATCTGTGAAATAGGGCTGGGACCCAGCTCACTGGATTCTCATGAGGGTTAAGGGAGATAATGCACAGAAGGGTTCTGGTGTGAGGGTGGCACTCATTAAATGTTAGCGACTTGCCAAAGGGCTTCCTGTCTGCTAGACCGGGCTAATGACGGCAGGTCCCCAGATTGAGAAGAATGCTCCAGGGGACAGTCTGCCTAATCTGTCATTCATTATACACATTCATTATACCTGAAGAACCGACTGCAAGGATGGTGGTGGGGGGCGGGGGTGGGGGGCGGCCGCTGCTGGAGGGAGTATATGGCAGGAAGAGATTTATGGGGGACCATTCCAAATTGGAACCATGGAACTATTACTGTTTCTACCCTTCACTTTCCTTGCACTGTCCCTTTGGGTTCCCTGGGCTATAGAATGAGAGAGGTATATGAGACCTCAGAGACCCTTTGATTAGACCGCTCTTTCCCCATTTCTTGTGCTCAGTGGAGCAGTCTGAGGTGGTCAGTGGCCGTTGGGAGCAGCTGGTGCCCAGAGGTGGGTGAGGCTCTGGGGACAGGAACAGTGGAGACTCAGTCCCCACACTGCAGGAGCTCTCAGCCATTGGCCTGATGAAGACTGAGGCTCAGAGAACCTAGGTCACACTGTCCCTCAGTGCCAGAGCCAGTCCCAGGTTCCCCTGGGCACCCAGCCCTAGCTTTCCCAGCCGCCACAGGGCTCAACAACCCCCCCCCCCCCCAGGAGAGGTCCAAATTCTTAGATCCTTGCTTTTCTTTTCTCTGAGGTCTTTTGCTTCAGCAGCCTTTACCTTAAGAAGGGGCCACTGGTCCCTTGAGGCGTGAATCCTGCCCCCCTGTCCCATCCCCCCCCACCCCCCCCCCCCCCCCCGCCAACCTCAGCTCCTGCCAAACTGGGCTGAAGTAACACACCTGCTAGCTATAGTTACCATCGTCATTCTCATTGACTTGGATCCAACTTCCGGAGGGAGAAGCTTCAGAGATTTATTTGCTAAATGCAAGGGTCCCCTAGTCTTTGCTTTCGCTTCTATTCATTGATTGATTCAACTTGATTTCAGATACCTTCCAAGTTTCTTTTTGAAACAGAGACTGAAAATGGGGTTACATAAAAGTCTCACTGATTTTTTTTTTCTTTCAATGCTCTTCCTCTTTCAGGACTGTTTGAGGCTGCATTTGCATATATGCACACCAGCCAAAACTAATATCTTTGTGAATTCAGAATAGTCTGAAATGCCACCCCTTATAAATTTCAATTAGGCAGTTATCCACATCACTGAGCTGTGTATTTTAAGAACCTGTTTTACTCAAGACGAGGATGGCATGAAATGAAAACAAAACAGAAGCCCGAGGGCTTACGGGACTTTCCTCTGGGGGTGCGGCCCTGGTGTTGGAGGCCGCAGGTGTGGGGAGACTTGATCCCATGCCCCTAAATCCCTGAAGTAGCTTGGGTTTCAATATTTCTTTCAGCAAAATGATGCTTCAACACCCAGGCCAGGTCTCTGCCTCGGAAGTCAGTGCCTCTGCCATCGTCCCCTGCCTGTCCCCTCCTGGGTCACTGGTGTTTGAGGATTTTGCTAACCTGACACCCTTTGTCAAGGAAGAGCTGAGGTTCGCCATCCAGAACAAGCACCTCTGTCACCGGATGTCCTCTGCACTGGAGTCGGTCACTGTCAGCGGCAGACCCCTGGAGATGGCAGTCATGAAAACTGAGGTAGGTTCTTCTCGAGGTGCCTCTGCTTTCGATGCTTATTCGTCATACCCCCACTGTGCCAGGCATGCTCCAGGCTGGGGACTGCACAGAGGGCAGTGACTGTGCTCATCACCACCAGGACCCAGCCGGCCAGACTGTGGAGCCAGGACTGGCCAGCCATGCCCTGCGCTGTGTTGATGCTCACAGCCCGGCTCCAAGGCCACCTCTGTCTCTGAATTCCCTTGAGCCACCTTTTAGAAGACACCTGGAGTAACAGACATGGCGAGGAGTCTAACAGGTGGCTGCTGGCGATGCTGTGGTGGCCCAAGGACCTGAGGTCTTGGCTATTTTGCGGGCCTTTCCCTCATGGATAAAAGATGGGAGTGTATCAAGCTTACTTAATCGGCCTGATCACTGTCTTTGGTCAAGGGGTAGTGGAACATGGCCAAAAAGGAACTGAGTTTAAAAGGAAAATTGTTATGAATCTTCATGATTCTACAAAAGGAGGTGGGGGTAATAATGACTCTTGCATAAGATTGACGTAAGGGTTAAATGAGACCGCGTTTGTTAAGAGTCTGGCTGTTAGTCAGCATTCCGTGACGGGCAGCGGGGGCTACCATATGATGCTGTATCCACAAGGCATCATTAGAGGCATTGTCGTGCCTCAGTTAACCTCTGGAGGCCATCGTTGCCTTGTTCAATCCTGGGCAGCACAAGGGGAGCCCTGAGACACACGAGGAACTTTTTTTAATTCTGTAATTAAATATCTTGAGATAACAGGATGTAATGGGAAGTAGTAAGATCCCCATAGAAGAAAGAAAAGCATTTTGGAAGGCTATTTGGAGGGTTCTTCAGAGGAAGAAGCAGGAGATGTCCAGTGCAGAGGACATCTGGTGACAGAATATTTCCTGCTCCGTGGAAATATTCCTTAAAGCCACCCAACTCATCCACTGATTCTGTGTTTACCAAGTCACCTTCTGATCTTAGGTCAATTTAACAAGTAGGTTTTCCTACTGGGAAGAGAATGCACCAGCTGACCTAGTTGAATATTCAGGTCCCGTTGGTTGCTATAATTCTCCTCTTAAAATAGATGCCGAGCCTGTGAAACCCATAAGCATCCTGTTGTACGTAGGCAGCGTGAGCCTGTTCCCCCAGATCCCAGTCACCTCTGGGGAGGCAACAAGATGGAATGAGGCCGTATGTCCAGGAGAGGACACAGTATGAGGAGCCAAAAGCCTGGGTTTACACCCCGGCTTTGTAGCCTATCAGTCTGGTAGCCATGAGCTAGTGATTCCTGGGCTTCTCTGGACACGTTGCTGCTGGCCACTCTGTGCCTCATTTCCACATCAATACAGTGAGAGAATTGAACTAAATCGTTTCTGAAAGCCTTTTCCATCTCTGACAGTGTATGATTCTGAGATTTGCTCTACTTTCAAGTACTTCCTCATTTGAGAAAACCCTGAATCCTCTCCCACTTCTCCAAAAATGTCCGTAGGGTTGCATAGGAAATACGACAGTTGCTGAGTTCTAGATGAAGATATTAATGGTGAGGTTAATAATGACAGTAATTGAAGCTTACACAGCACTGACTAAACATTATGCAAAGCATTTTAATTTTAATGAAAAAAATTGTTTCAATGTGTATTTATTTTTGAGAAAGAGCATGAGCTGGGGAGGGGCAGAGAGAGGGAGACACAGAATTCGAAGCAGGCCCCCAGGCTTTGAGCTGCCAGCACAGAGCCTGACTCAGGGCTCGAAACTACGAACCGTGAGGTCATGACCTGAGCAGAAGTTGGACGCGCAACCAACTGAGCCACCCAGGCTCCCCTAATTAATATTATGTGTATATAACTAATCTAACTGATTTGACCCTCCTCACCACCCTATTAGGTAGCTAAGATTATTGATCCCATCTTACAAGTGAGGAAACTGAGGGTCACAAGAGTATTGCAAAGTATATGCCCAAAGTCTCAGAGCTAATAGGTGGTGAAGCTGGGATTCAACCCAGTTTTGTTTCAACCCAAATGTCTGCCGGTATGGCTCTGGGATCCAGGATGTAAAAGGCGAAACTGCTTCTTGCCTTGCTTTCCCCTGGGGCTTTGTTTCTCTAAATCTCTGGCCTTCAGTGCGGAGCCAAGGCCGTGTCGTCTAATCCAAAGGACTTCTAATAAGACGGATCTGCGGTGATCATTGGGTCCCAGGATTTCTTCCGTTTGAGGTGTGGCTCCCACACCCTCTCCTGCTGTCGGGAGCTGTGACAAGTGACAAGACAAGGTCTGACATTAGCAGCCTAGGCCATCACCTGCTTAGCCCACTGTGGGTGCTTCCTCCTAGTCGGCCTCCAGCCTCTAAGCAAAGCCCAGTGGCCGACTTTGTGGGCTTCCCATCAGTCCTGAGACAAAGTCAGGGTCAGAGCCAACTTCCATAGAGGACCAGATCCTGAAGCAGGACAGGGTTTTATTCTTTGAGGGCCCCTCACGGCAGACTCCGAGTGGGGCACAGAGGAAGAGGTCAGTATTTATTTGCTGGATGAATCAATGGTTGGTTCATGTTTACCACCCACAGGTGGTACCAAGCCATGGGCTGATAATGCCGCTTTGTTTGGGCGATGCTCCTGGGTTCCTCTTTTCCGGGAGCTCCATGAGCTTCTTGTGAATTTATGAAGGAGGTGCTTTAATACCCTGGGTGAAGATAGAGGCGAATGGGGGTCAAGTCAAAGAAAAGGCAGGAGGGAGAGGGTGGCCAGGTGGTATTCCCGAAGCCATGCCTGGATCTAGGGGAAAGGACGTACTGACCAAACAGAATCTATTTCCTGCTCTAAATGATTACAGCTTTCATCCAGTAGCTATCAGTTTGAATACACAACTCATTTCAAAATCCAAATGCATTTTTGAGCAAGCTGAGTTTTAATTTCTTAATATTGCCCGCGTAACTCGAACGAACCGTTCCTTGGTTTTCATTATCTGTTCGCAAGCGTGTGCATGTGGAGAGGTTTCATGCCGAGGCCCTTAGCGCTGGGGCTGCCCTGGTTTGCCACTCTGTGCTGGCAGTGAAAGGCGGTGTATTCAAGGTGGGTTGCACGTCTTGATCTCTTGCCTCCCATGACGTGTGTGGTCCCTTCACTCGTATAGGTAGCCCCGGAAGAAGACGAAAGGAAAAAGAGGCGGCGGGAAAGAAATAAGATTGCAGCTGCCAAGTGCCGCAACAAGAAGAAGGAGAAGACAGAGTGCCTGCAGAAAGTGAGTCCTCCCCACCTCGCCCCCTCCTCTTGCTCATGCCTGCCCCCCACCAGCCTCATGCTGCTGTCACAAAGGGAGTCAAAAAGCCCCCTACCCAGGAGTGTTTTCTCGAGAAGGACGTGTAGCCGTAGCAGAAAGGCCACTTGCTAGATGAGGAGGTAACAAGCTATCAGCACAACGAAGGTGACACTCGATGTATGAGAAGCAGGTGTGTGCACTGGAGGCCGCAGGCTGTCTGGTGCCCAGGTTCCCAGCAGCCCTGGCCCGTCCATACACGTCCAGCAGCTTCCAGGCTGCAGGATACATCAGCCCAGTTAAAGAAGCTTCACTCACCCGTTTTAACGAGAAAAGGAAGCTGCCAGCTCTCAACTGGCTCAGAATGAAAAGCCTTTAATTAATCTCTTCAAACAAGTTATTTCCTTAATCCGAAAGCAGTGGTTATACTTTTTTTTTTTTTTGAGTTCTTGTGTGTTCTTAACTCTGCTGCCCTTCGTGGCTCATCCAATAGTCTGAGCTCCTGGCTGTGTTCAGTCGGCTCCCCTTCCTGAAGGGGAAAGCATGAGAGGGAATGGCATCTCAGGGCAGGAGGGGTGGGCCACGGCCCTGTCGTTACAGGCTGTGTCCTGTCCCCCGAGTGTGGACAGGCCAGGGCAGAGTCTTCGCCCAGGTCCCACAGGCCCCCAAGGAGTCTGTTGATTGCTTCGGGGAGGCGATGAAAATCGAGACACTGTATGTGTTGCCATGTACATTTTTCTCAATGAAACCAGTGACTCACAAAAGCCTCAGCACCGTGGGTCTGCATTTCTTCCCAGCCCTCAAGGCCCATGTGGGTCCAGGAGAGCTACACATGGGCTGTTGGACTCATACAAAGGAGATCTCTGAGCCATTGGCTCTACTGCAGTGTCATTACCACGGGAGCCACAGCCCTCCCTCAACCTTGAGCGGAAACTCAAGGGCATCTCTGAAGAAGCCCCCAAGTTCAAAGGCTTCTCGGGGGCTGGATTCTCCCAGACCTAATGCTGCTGTCCCAGCTTTGTGGGGACGCTGTACCAGGGAGCCCACGGCACTCCCTCTGCAGACCATTCCCACCTCGATGAACCCCGATGACTGTGACCACCGCCACCCCAAGCCACCCTCCTCTTCACTGGAACCTTGGCCGCACTCCTAATAATTCTCTTGCTTGCCCCCCAGGAGTCAGAGAAGCTGGAGAGCGTGAATGCCGAACTGAAGGCCCAGATCGAGGAGCTCAAGAATGAGAAGCAGCATTTGATATACATGCTCAACCTTCATCGGCCCACGTGTATTGTCCGGGCTCAGAATGGGCGGACTCCAGAAGATGAGAGAAACCTTTTTATCCAACAGATTAAAGAAGGAACATTGCAAAGCTAAGCAGTCATGGTATGGGGGCAATTGGGGAGTCCTCATTGAAACCTTCTACATCCCAAACCCTGAAGCCATTGGAGATCTGACTTCCTGTGCACCTCTCGCATCCCAGCAGTGAAGCACCATCGAGGCAGAAGAGCCCTTGGTGACTCAGCTGGGCCTTTCCTCTCTGCACCAGAGTGGACTTTGGACTGGGGCAAGGGCATCTTTTGTCTTAACTCCAGGATTTAGGCCTTAACCATCCTGGCTATTCTTGGATGCTGCAGATGGCCCCTGGTTAGGGTCCTGCTCATCTTTTGCCTGGATTCTACAAAAACAAACAAACAAACAAAAAAAGCCAGGACTCCCACCATAGGACTCATGCTGAAGAAGTGTCTGCACATTGGGTGGGTGGAGTGGGGCCACCTCCTGAGCTGCCACTGCCACTGCCACCATCACTTATAGGGACACAGAGTGAGAACGGCATTTAGCGAAGTTGTACAATGGCCAGGGTTGTGCTTTCTAGCAAACATGCTGTTATGTACAGGAATTACTGTGTGCAAGGCATTTGTTTCAAAGCTAGGCATTGTGTTCTTCTGATGTTTGTTTTGCACAACACTGGTGTGATTTTCCTCAGATCTGGTTTCTGAGGGTTTGGTGGGGGAGGCGGCTACCACCATATGCAGTGTCTTACAAAATGCTGAGGTGGCCGCAAGAGCTCATCAGCCCCGGGAGAACAGAATTCTGCTGGCGAGCAGCGTAGTTTTGTGCCAACAGAGAAAGCTGCCTTTCCCTCGGCGCCCAGGCATTAACGCAGAATTTGTGGGCATGACTGTAGGCCCTCTGTTGCAAACTCAGTTACAATGTCACAGGAAGAAAGCAGAAAGAAAGTCCAACTTCCAAAGGGTTAGGACTCTCCCCTCGGTGACTTAGGTCAGGAGTTCTTTCTAGGCCAGAAGAGCCAAAGAATATTCCATTTTCCTTTTCTTGCAGTTGAAAACCACATCCGGTGGAGACAAGTTTGAAGCCAGGTGATGCCTGGGTTTTAGCATTATTGGATGTTAGTGGCATTGTTTGTCATGCAGATGTTGGCAGAAATCTGGCCCAGAGCATTTATAACTGTGAGAGGTCATTCACACTGGCCACAGGACTCTGGCTACTGTCTGTTTAAATTCTGATGTTTCTGTGAAATCCTCAGAGTGTTTAATCCTACTCGGTAGTATCATTACAATTTTTCTGTAAGAGGAAATATTACTTATTTATCCTAGTATTCCTAACCTGTCGATATAATAAATATTGGAACCAAGACATGGTAAACTTAAGTGTTGTGCTGGTTTCTGTTCTTTTAAATGGGTTGGTCGTTGAGATTTACTCATTTCCCACGCCCTCCCTCTCCATTGAGGGCGAGGGGCATTGAGTTTAAAAATTCTCCAAGTGTCATCCTTTGCTTTTTGGCGTGCCACTTAGGTGGGACAGTTGACTTTCAATCCTGTTCCTCGGTCTGTAGCATCTGATACTCAATTTCTCATTAGCAAACCCTAGAACACAGCGCCAACCGGGTGTATCCTTTAGACCAACTGTTTGCTGTTTAGAGTTTGGATATACAACCTGAATTGCTAAATACCTCTGCCAGTTCCTCTGAATGTACGGATGCCTAAAACATACACCTGTTTTCCAGCTTGAGCCCTGGACACCGTACATTCTGCCACAGAACACCTCTTAAAGTATTTACTTGATTACAGCTATCGTCTCAAATATGTGTCTTATTGTTGCAAATACGTATTTCGAATGTGAGGAAAGAATGGAGGGGGGAAGAGAGGGAGACAATAATTTTTGACCCGACAGGTGTGATAGTTCAAAGAAAGGTATTCCACCTAACTTTCTGGAATCTCCAGGGCATATGATTCCTTAGGTCTGGAACAGAATTGGGCTCCCTTGCTGTTGGCCTGTGCAAATTGGTATCCCTCACAGGTGAGAAATAAACACTGGCTGCTCTGCTGCTAATGCCGTTCTTCAGAGAGATAGTAGCTTCATTAAATGTTAAGATTGATGCACATGAATGGGGAGCCTGCCTCTCTGAACTCATGTGTGTTTCCTCTAAACGCTCACCTGTGACACAGGTGTCCTGATTTTGCTGCTTTATTTGCACATCAGGGATAGTTCCCAGTCTGCAAGGAGCCCTCTGGTTGAAGTACCATTCACCACTTCTTTTAGGAGATCATCTATTTTCTTTCAGATAGGGGGACAGGAGGGGAGGGGGGGGGCGGGGAATTCCTCGCATTTACCCCCTGGTTGTAGATACAGGTGCCCCCGATCAGCTGTTAGGAAACTCAAGGCCGGTTTTGAAGCTGCCAGGGACAACAATGGATTGGAGAGGAAGGAAGTGAGTGGTGGCTATGGCCAGAAAAATGGATCTGAAAAATACGGTTACTGGATATGGTTATATGGTTACTGGAACTGACAGCTCTTTTACCAAATGCACTAAAAAAGTTTTGCTTTCTGCAGCCAAGATTATGTTTTGATACTTTAATAAAAGACAAAAAAATGACTATGTATTTACCATCAAGTCGTTTAGTTCCTCTTGTTTCACACTCAATGGAGAGGGAAGGTTGGGAGGGTCTGAGAATAAACTTGAAAGGGACCTCCGCCAGAGTCAGGCACCTGGGCTACGGTGCCTTTCCATGGGGCTGCCCCCTGTCATGCTGGTGACGTCACACTGGCAGGGCCTGGAGGGCCCGGCCTCCCTCCTGACCTCATCCCTGTCCCCTTGCCTTTCCCGGAGATCTGGCCTGACACCTCTTTCGGGATAAAGAGTTTTAAAGGGTTCTGGCCCAGAGGGATTCTGGAATTAAAACTCACTTTCTGCCAAGAGCAAAACTGTTATTTCCCATCTTTATCCTGATTTCTCCCCACGGGCTTTGAATAAACCCTTGAAACCCAAACCCCAATCAAGCCTTTTCTCTCTTCCCATCCCATACTCTTTGGTTGTGTTCAGTTTCTCTGTGGAGTGGACAGTGTTTTCATGGATCTGCCGGAGGTAAAACTAAAAAGGAGGCCAATTTTGCCCATGGATCATCCTTCTGTGTTCTCATAGTGGCTCTAACCCCAGAAGCATCTTTTTTGTCATCTCAAAAGCTGCTCTCAAGAAGAAATTCACCCGAGACTTAAAGGGCCAGTTGAGGATGAATGTTAATGCGAGCTACCATTTATTTAGACAATATGTGCAACCTTTACATGCAGTATCTCATTTCATCCTCAGTGACTTGTCCCCATTTTACAGATGAAATGGAAAACTGAGTAGCTCGCTCTAGATCACACCATTGACCTTTCTCTAAAGGGTTCCAAGCAGGAGTGTATATTTGTGTGTGTGTGTGTGTGTGTGTGTGTGTGTGTGTGTGTGTGTGTGAGAGAGAGAGAGAGAGAGAAAATACACCCAACATAAAATCTGCCATTGTACCTATTTAGAGTGTACAACTCAGTATATTCACGATACTGGGTAACTATCACCACTACCTACTTCCAGAATTTACATCCCCCACAAAGTAAATCCTGGACCCATTAAGCAGTCACTCCCCATTCTCCCCTCCCTCCAGCCACAGGCAACCACTAATCTAAACTCTGTCTCTATGGATTCGCCTCTTCTGGATATTTCATATAAATAGATTCACACGGTATGTGGCCTTTTGTGTCTGGCTTCTTTCACTTAACCTAATGTTTTCAGGATTCACCCACGTTGTAGCAGGTATCAGCATTGCATTCCTTTTTATGGCTGAGTAACATTCCACTGTATGGATAGACCACATTTTGTTTATCCTTTCACCCTACTGAACAGGTGTGTGTATTTTAATGGAAAGATTGCCTTTGTTTTCAAGGACTGAATCTCTAAGGTAGAATTTCAGGAAAGATTTCATCAACCTGGAGGATGAGAGTTGGGAGCAGGTGTGTTTCTCAGAACTTTCAAGTAACAATTTAGAAATTACGGGGGCGTCTGGGTGGCTCAGTCGGTTAAGCATCTGACTCTTGATATCGGCTCAGGTCATGATCTCGCGGCTTCATGGGTTCAAGTCCCACATAAGGCACGGCTCTGGCAGTGCAGAGGCAACTTAGGATTCTCTGTCTCCCTTTCTCTCTGTCTTTCCTCCCACCCACTCCCCCACCCTGTCTCTCTCAAATAAATAGACTTAAAAAAAAAAATCTTTAGAACTGACACACTCTGGGGCGTCTGGGTGGCTCAGGTGGTTAAGCGTCCAGCTCTTAGTTTCAGCTCAGGTCATGATCTCATGGTTTCGTGGGTTCGGGCCCCACGTCGGGCTCTGCGCTGGCAGTGTGGAGCTTGCTTGGGATTCTCTCTCTCCCTCTCCTTTTGCCCCTCCCCCACTCACACTGTGTCTGTGTCTCTCAAAATAAATAAATAAATAAACTTAAAAAAAAAAGAAATTACATATTCTGCGTCTAGCTCTGTGGGGGGGGGGGGGCGCGATAAGGCAGGAAGTATGGTGGCACACACTCCCCATAGGTGTCACTGCTTTCAAACCACTTGTGCATGGTAGGGAGGTTGCTACAGGAGGATGTTTGGCAGCCTCTTGGAATTGAAGATTACATCCCAGGCCCCCCGCCCCCTTCATTTCACTGGGGAAGAAGGGAAGAAAACTGGGGGTCTTCAGAGAAAATAACTAGGTGTCCATACACAGGCTGTTTATGGAAACATAATGGAGGGAAGGAACAAAGATGGCCGCCTGGATAATTTAGTCCCCACTTCAGCCCAGCCACTGCCTGTAGTAGTCGTCTTGGGTTCTGTCCATGACATATATATATATATATATACACCTATGGAGTTACACAACTTCCAACAGTGCATCAGAAGGTTCTTCTTGAAGGTAGTTAAATCAGACTGGTTTGAAAAGCGTGTGGCTGGTGCAAGGTTTCTTCGTGAAGGCAAAGTACTGGAGTGGTTCAGAACAAAGGCTTTGGAATCAGCTAGACCCGCATTCAAATACTGCCTCTACTCCCATTACTTCTGTGAAGTTAGGCAAATGATACCTCAGTGTCTTCACCTGTAAAACGGGATGGTAACGACAGTACCAAACTCAATGGACTCTTAACGGTCATATGTGAAGAACATAGCAGGGCACCTCGGGGATGACTTTTTTTGTTTTTTTGTTTTGTTTTTTTTTTTTTTTCTAGAAATTTTATTTTATTTTATTCTATTATTTTTTTTTTCAATATATGAAATTTATTGTCAAATTGGTTTCCATACAACACCCAGTGCTCGGGGATGAGTTTTTAATGTTATTATTAATGGTTGATATCTTCCATGTTTACTGAGATTTTATGAAAAAGCAAGCTAAGGACCAAGACTGCCAGTTCAAGGTTATTGGATAAAATGAAACCATGAGCTCACGTGGCTCCAAGTGTATCCCATCACCTTCTATTCCTATGGATTTTGTCCAGTTGCTGAATCTTTTGCATTTGGGGGAGGATTAAAAAAAAAAGATCCCCACACAAAATGTTCCCATTTGAAGAAATTTTTATTTTGATGCCCACCTGAGTCCCTGGAAGGATGGGCCTGTCCTCTGTGGGGACAGTGGGGGTGTTTGGGGAGGAGGATGGTGGCCCTGCCCTGAGGGAGCTGCCTGGGGGATGGATGACAACAAAGGGGTATGTGACCGTGACAGGTCACAAAGGGCAGCAGAGGATAAATATGGCTGCGCAGGGGTTAGTTAGGCAGAGTTAGTTCTGTCACCAGTTCTGCAGTTTCGGGTCTCTCAGGGACATAAAATTTCAGGGGTGGAGGTGAAGTGGAGGAATCCACCATACATCTCTGCACTCTTGCAGAATTTCAGTCTGGGGTCCAGGCACCCTACAGCACCCCCTCTGTAATCCTCTGGGCTCCCACCCTCACTCGTGTCTCTGGGAGGCTCTGAGGCAAAGGGGTGTGGCCCCCGTGGGGTGGGGTGGGGTTGAGACACTGGCCATAGAGCCACCTGTGTGACACAGGAGCTCAGCTATATACCCTCTGCCAGCCAGGCCAAGGGAGAGAAGATCCAGGGACCCGCCTTGCCCGCACTGCCTCTTGTGATAGGAGAGAGTCATGAACCCCGAGTCTCTGCTCCCCTATCACACAGCCCACAGCCGCTCCGCAGTGGGCATGTTCAACAGGGCCATGGGGAAACTACAGCGACACCTGCACAAGGGGGAGTACGACATCTTCAAGTACGCGCCTATATTTGAGAGCGACTTTATCCAGATCACCAAAAGGGGAGAAGTAATCGATGTGCACAACCGGGTCAGAATGGTGACCGTGGGCATCGCGTCCACCAGCCCCATCCTCCCGCTACCGGACGTCATGCTGCTGGCCCGACCGGCCACCGGCTGTGAAGAGCATGGCGGGCGTGGCCAGGCCACCAAGGGAAAAGGCCGCAAGGCTACCAAGACCTTAGAGCTCACCAGGCTCCTTCCCTTGAAGTTCGTGAGGATCTCCATTCACAACCGCGAGAAACAACAGCTGCGCCTCAAGTTCGCCACCGGGCGCTCGTGCTACCTGCAGCTGTGCCCCGCTCTGGACACACGGGAAGACCTCTTCACCTACTGGGAAAAGCTCGTGTACCTCCTGCGACCACCAGTGGACAGCAACAGCAGTACCTACGCCCTCCCAGCGGACATGCTTTGCATGCCTGTGTTTGAGGAAGAGGACAAGAGGAGCCCAGCAGGGGCGGATTTCCAAGAAAAGGGCCATCAGGATCAGGTCAGCATCAGGAGCCTCCACGTGGTCTCCGAGGTGGCCGGGGCCACCTCTGCAGCTTTTGCAGGTGGGGAGGGGACCCGTCAGGCCTCCCACAAACCCGATGCAGCCGCCGCCACCCCAAAACCTGCAGAGCTCCACAGGGAGTCGGCGGCAGAGCCACACGTAGAGCTGGCGGCGGCCGTGGCAGCTCGGGAGGCGGCGGGGGCGGCAGCGGTGGTGACAGGAGGGACGGCCGTGGGGTTCGCAGCAGGGATCGCAGCGGACACCGCGGCAGGCGCTTTGAGCGTGGCCTTGACCAAGTCAGCCGCCCCGGATCGGCTAGGCGCGGCCGTAGCAGGTGCAGCCACCGCGGGGCCGGGAGGAAGCAGGACCAACCTAGCCATTGCGGGCACCGCCAACCTCTCCCCGGAGAGCAGGAACCTGGCCTTGGCAGGTGCCGCGAAGATCCCCGGGTTTACTTCCGGCTCGTCGACCAGCCTCTCCCAGCGGGCCCGCAGGACCCCGACCTTCGCAGGGACAGAGGGCGCCCGCAAGACTGTGGCGGGAAACGTGGAGAGAGCGCTCCTCTCCGACGCGCAGAGCGGAGGCGCGGAGGGTGAGCAGGCGGGAAGGCAGCCGCGCCAGGGCCGGAGGGAGCTCAGGGACAAGGAGGGAACCTTTCCGGACTCCCGTCGCCTCAGGGCAGCCGACACGCGCCACAAGGCCGGGGGGGACAAGACCAACCGGAAAGCCTCCGGGCGGTCCTTAGCCGGCCACAGAGCCGCGAGGGAGGACAAGGACAAGGCCCGCGGCAGCCCGGGGGGCGGGAGGCGAGCCC